AGTTTTATTTTCTTGTCTTAGAACTATCTTTGAAAAAGTTACAAACAAAATCTTAAAATACCAGGGACACACTTGCTTGTCTTAGAAAGATTGACTGATAAAAAATTGATAGCTGATGTTCTTTTTTTTTGCCTTCTTTCTTTCCTTCCTTCCTGTCTGTCTGAGCATAAACATTGGTCACAGATTCTACCCTTTCATGAATTTTCCAAATGAATTCACATGAATAAATCAAGCCAAAGAATTGGTGAAGCGTAGCAGAATGTATATACATCTATAAAAAAAGGCTGGCCTTCCAAAGCCCATAAAAAGTTTATCTGATTTCTTTTAGGTTCGACATTACAGAAAGCTGTTTTGAGATGAATGCTTCAGCAGAAAGCCTAATCAGCCATGACTACAACTCTCAAAACCAATTGACCAGAATAAATACACTATAGACAAGATTTGTGACAACAACTGAATTCATAGCATAGCAGATTAGCATAACGAAATCAAAGTGTTTTTGATCCTGGAACAGGTTTGCTTGGTCTCACATATATAAGGTCAACTTCACATTCACTCTGCTCTTAAACTCTTTCCACATAGCCTTCTTTGGCTAAAAGCTAAGCTTTCACAGCATTCTGAAGTACAATAAAAATTTAACTATAAGAAGAAGATCCATGTTTGACTTTTGATCAAACAACTCAACCGGAAACTCCAAAAAGGATAACATACATTCAGACTCTTTACATCAGTAATATGTTTCGCAGCACTTGTTCTTCAATGAAGAATAAAAAGCTTTAGAAGGTAAATGGGTAGAAAATTCATTGCGTAACAAGTGAGTTGTTTAAATCTCAAAGCAGCAACCATCAACCAGAAGCAGCTTTTTAATAAGACCAAGTTATATGTTTTTATTTTTTATTCAATTGTTATATCAAACCAGCATTATCTCATGTTACATATTGCATGTTTCCTCATATCATGCATCCCTAAGAAGGATGACAGACATGGGTAACTGAGGCTGGATGGATGAATTGATTGTTCCTTCTAGTCGGTCATAATACTGTAGAAAGTAACAGTTGGTAGAAAGACATTAATGTTCATGGACCTTTCAATGGGTACTGTGGGTGCAGTTCTGGTGTATGGAAAATGCATATAATAAGAATTTGAAGAGAGTAAGCTCATTCATTCTTGCTTCCCCATGCTGCTGCTGACAGTATATTTTAAAGCACTACTGGCTCATCTACTTAATTGTTCATCATTATACAATACATTTTTTGTCTTTCAACAATCAAGTGTGGGTATATAGATGGAATAAAAACCCAGTTAATTAAGCATATTCCCATATCACATGCCATTCAGTGGAATGACAACACTATTACAACATATTATATCATGTTAAAAACATACAGCAAGTACAATCTTTACCACACCGACTCAGTGTATCCTGTCAAGACAATGCAGTTTAATTGTGTCGGTGTTCCCTTTATTGCCTCATCTCCTACAAACTATAAGGCACATGTGCACAAGTGAGTAAAAAGTAGAGGCCAACGGCACAAGCAATCCTGTTCCAGTTGGAGGGGAAACCATGGCTACCTCAGAGCCATGCTTCTATTTAACAACAGGGGGGTTTATGGTAGTCTGTCAATAACACTCGCTCTCCCAGGAGACAGGAAACACAAAACACTCCTGGCTGTCATTGATTGCATAGTCTCGCTCATAAATTGTGTCCTTTCCTTGAAACTGACAGAAAGAAAGGGACCGTCTACCTCAAATCACATGCAGTAGCTGATTCAGAACATTTAGATGATTGCATAAAGATGACCGTCAGATCTTGCAATAACAGCATACCGGCTGAGCTGTGTCTTCAAAACGATGATTTTCTTCAATGAAGGACAAATTGTCTTGTAACTGTTAGCACTGTGTCTGAGAGAGCAATTTTCTTTTCATTTTAATTTGAGAATGGCTACTTTTCAATCTCATTTTAAAGCATAAGGTACAAACAGATGCCAAAAATCTAACAAACATTAGCAAGATATGTTTGGAGGTTTAGCAATCGGTAACACTTCTGTGTAACAACAGAATTCAGCACTTACAATGTACAGTAAAAATATAGACATATATATTGTATTCTAAACAGTGAATCAAAAAGTACTGTATAAATTAAGGTCTCAGGCAGATGGTTAGACAGTGATAAACATATGCAACTATTTCCCAAAGGGCGGGAGAGAGTCTGTCCAAGCTTGGCAGCCGGAAAGCACAGCTTCTCCCTTGTCTGCCTCCCATCATTATCTGGTAAAGGACATATTCTGCGATGCACAAATTGTTAACTAAAATAAATATCAAGGCAGTTTCAAGAAACTCCTGAAAACCCGTTTTCATTTCTGCTTACTTGTCGAGTTTGATACCCTGATTAAGACACTGTTGTATTAAGGTAGGTTTTTAAAATTTTTGATTTTAAATATTTTTAGATTGTTTTTATTGAAAAAGAGTTAGCTCTTATTTTACTGTCGTAGTGATATGTTTCTTAGTTTTTTCCATTTAAGTTAGTCAGCATTTTAGTCTTTGAAATGGGCTTTATGATAAAACAGACAGTCATGTTGACAAATGGCGTTGACGAATATTAAAATTCAATCTAATTAAGCCACTTTGAAAAAGGGTAAAATGCTCAGAGTTCAAATTAAAACATTTGCCCAGTGACCGGAATAGGTCAATTTTCAGCTTGATAGGGAACCAGCCAGTCGGAAAATAAATAATTTGATCCTTTTCAGATTGGTGACGCCACTATGGCCAAGTGCCACCAGGTCACGCTAACAACACTACTAATGTGGATACTGTAACTGAGGCAAGAAGCTAAATATTAGAGTAGAAATAAACTGTTTAGAAATGCAAGCAGATTAAGTGCAAAGATGAAATAAGCCATTTCACAGGTAATTAATTTCTAGGACATGTCAGAACATGCTAAGTAAATAAATAAATAATTACTTTATTTTAAGTGTTACAGCTACTAGATGTGGTTAGTCAGAACGCGTACACCACTGTTCATCCACCTGGTCACAATGAGTGTCTCTCACAGCCCAATTTACTTAGTTTGCCATTTTAAAACCCCTGAAACTGCTTTCCGAGCATTCAGTAGTTTTTTCACCATTTCAACTAGTAGTATGTTTTGCAAAAAAAAAAAAAAACAAAGAAATAGATTATTTTTTATCTTGTCTATGTTTCTGTTCTTGGTTTTCCTGTGGATCCTCACACATTCTTTCAGTAATACACAAGGACACTAGTTTTAGTAATGCAAGTATTTGCTAAAATGAGATGCTAAAGACAGTTTAGAAAATCTGATCACTATACATTTTGTTGTTGTTTTAAATTAGTAAGTCTTTTACAAAATGCTATTCTCAAACATCTGGCATGATGTCTTTGCTTTTAATGTAAACAAGTCCTTGTGCCAAAATGATTAGAGAGAAATATTTGAAAGCCGTTAGTAGCAAGTTTGTTTTGTTTTGGCTTTTTGTGTTGAACCTAAAAACAAGGTTTGTTGTGAAGTCTCATTGTATAATTGAATTAAAGTCTCATCCATCGATTGTTGAGAAGGGTACAAATTTTCAAATTTATTCTTTGTAAAAAATAATAATAATAATAATAATAAAATACTTATTTTATGCTCATTCATTACCTTTAGTGAAATGCCTGTATCATTTTCAGTCAGAAACAAACTTTCTGGTTGGATGAATAGAACAAATCTAAAGTCTGACAAGTCTATGGATGATTTTAAGCATAATACTTAAAAAAAATGTGTCAACTGTAGTTTGTTCACTTATGTTGAATAGAATAACCACCATAGCGAGCAACAGAGAAGAAGACAAGCAGAAAGAGACACAGACACGCAGCGACAGAGAGGGTGTGCATGCCTTTCTGACTATCATGAGCTCAGATGCTAAATTGAGCTTTGCAAGCCCATGGGATCCTGGATCTCCAGTTACACTGAAGGGAATGTGGCAGACTACACTGGGTCTGACTTCTACTGTAACTGTACTGTACAATCGGTGAGTCCACAACGCTGACTGCACTGAAGTGATTTAAATAAGTTTATTACACTGGAAGAGAATTTTGAACTGCTGAAGAACATGCAGCTCCGCAGAAATTATAATTTGCGCTATAACATATACGGGAGGCAAAAAAAATATTACACTGGAACTTTATGTGAATACTTAAATCCACTCGTAATACACATGTCAAAGCTCGCAGCTTTCTTCATCGTGTTTGTCCGTGCTAAAAGCGCTCATTGAGACTCGGCTCTAAAGTAAGGGTGAGGCATGTAGCACCACTTTGCTACTTCGAATCCTCGACTCAAGGAAGATGACACAATGGCTAAGTCAGAAACACATACGCTGTAGATCAAAATAACTTTTCCAATAACTACTGCAGAAATAAAGCGATGAACTCCAAACAGTCTCTAAACAAAGACATTTCTGGACAATGAAATTAGACTAAAAGGAGAACTAAACGAGGACAAGTACACGCACCAACTGCACTCAAGTTAACACATTGGACGCTAATTAGGAAACAGCTGGTGAATAATTAAACATCCCCGAAAGCAAGTGTGCGGACGCGGATTCAGAACCAGAAGTGCCCGGTGCCCGTTAGCTTAGCTGCAACACTAGCCTAGCAGCCTGGCTCATCTTTGCCCGACAAGCTTTCAGCACCGGGGCTCACTGGATAGCAGCGCTCGGGAGTGAGAAAACACTGAGATTTTCAGCTAACGGGACTACTCCAGCTCAATAAATAAAGGTCGTGCCACCCTGTAGCAGAAATATTCAATATGCAGACTTTTCATGCAGCTACACCTTAAGTAGGCAAGATGGTAAGCTGTGGTTACAATGCTGAATGAAACAGCCGGACCTCGCCTAAGCTAATGTTAGCTGCACGTCTCCGGTCGTCAGGCGGTGCAGTGAGTGGAAGGCTACAGGCTGCTAGCAAAATAAATCTTTGAGCTCACAAGCCTTCTCTACCAGCTATACACGCACCTTTAACCGTTAAAGATAACTCCTGTAGCAGGTCCACAAACTGTGCAGCAGCAGCAGCAGCAGCAGCAACGCCTGGTCTCACTGAGTGCACTCCCAAAGAAAAACGGCGTCCTCCTGATCAGTTAACCTCCCCGGAGAGTAACAATCGGCTCGGTCCGGACGCTCTCCTTAATCTTGTGGTGCTGAATCTGAGGCTTACACGCTTCTGTCGGTGTGTCGGAAATGCCTCTCCTCCTCCCACGGTTGCTGCAAAATAATGACCCCCTCACAGCGCTCCTACCGCAACAACGATGCAGGCAGGTGCGGACGAAGATGCGCTAGTAACGGCGAGCTTTGCAAAATAGTGGCCCGTCTGCTCGTCTCCAGCATTGGCAAATCAGGAGCGGCTCTTTCTGTCGTTGACGCATGCGTACTCTTTAGAGTGAGCAGGATTTATTTATTTATTTATTTATTTATTTATTTATTTATTTAATTTGCCACATTATAGAAGTGAAGATCCATTCTCTCCGTGGATGGTGTTAAACTAATGCAGTAATTTAATACTCGGCTTTTATGCAGGAATATATGAAGAGTCAAAATAAAGAAGAACGTCAACAAAAAGTTTATTTCAGTAATTCAGTTCGAAAAGTGAAATTCAGGCATTATATAGATTCACTGCATGTTTTTCAAAAGTTGTTTTTTTGTTCATTTTGATGATTATGACATACATAACTGATGAAAACTGAAAGTTATTAGGTTCACATTTGATATTTTGATATTTACAATGAGAGACGCTCATATGACACCACATCAAGTTAGGAGTATTATTTTTTTTATTTAATGATATTTTAAAAGATCTTGGAGTTTCTTTGGCTTGTTAGGCGGAAATAATATCATTCCAGGTGCTTGGAAGCAAACATTTTATACTTCACAACAACAAGTCCAAATTATCCAGTTATTCCAGGCACTTAATTACAAATTCAGCAATGTGACAGCATCCATTAATTAGCAATAGTTTGTGCATTTCTCATCTGCTAGGGAAATTATGTGTGTTAACCTGATTGCACTGAATTTCATTAAAGTTTGAGCTGAGTCTTAGCTGAGTTGGAAGCAGTTGCAATCAAAGTCTAAATCATAATGCAAGATACCTGAGCGAATCAGGGCATTAACATCCTTTCAGGCTTGTGAAAAATGTTATCATTTCAGGCATTTTGATTTAACTTAATAGATTTATTTTCTGTTTGTGTACTGCCTCTGCTTGTTTTATCAATACGTATTATATACCAGGCTTGCTATCTAACAGTTTTCTTTAGAGTTGTCCTTAGATGCATTCAAGCTTTACTTTCTGTGAACCTCTGAGCTGACACAGTTTGTAGAGAACAAAACCACCATGGGAATAAACCCATCTCTGAGTTTGACAAGTTGTCAGCTTACTCTATTGTGTGTAGCACAAGCCAAAAACCTTGGGCAGTTAAAGACCATAAATATATATTTTTGTTTGTAGAGCTATGCACCAAGATTTCCTCTGAGATTTAAGGTGAGAAATGATGTTCATTCAGTGCGTATTTACTTTGATGTATGTCCACAAACCCCACACTCACCACAACAGAGTACAGTTCCTTTCCTAACTTTAAGCTATTCTATTCTTCAGGGACTGTCATCACCACATGTCCCTGCTCTGGCTTTTACTGCTCTTACAAAAAGAGGTCATCATTGGATCAATCTGCTGCACTCAAGAGCTCTACAAAAAAAAAAAAGAGAGAGAGAAAAAAGTGTTCAAATCTCGAAGCCCTCAAAATCCAACTCTTTATCCTCAAAGTGAAAGAATTAAGGACAGTAAAAGGGGACTAAGGTAACGCGTTTTTTAATTGACAACAGATCTTGATATCATATAACCAGACTGAGGTTTTGTTCGCTCCTCTCTGATGTTGTGCAAACATTATTCACATTTCCTGAATCATGAGGTGGCACTTCAGATGGCCTTGCAATCAAAAGCACAACTACTCCGGGCAGGAGAATCTTTTAGGCAAAAGCTCGTCTTCCAGCACTTCTGTTAAAAGCAAATCTGAAGTAATTTCAGGTTTCTCGGAGAAGACTGAGAGCACCTTACTGACTTGGAGAAACATAGCGCATAATAAATCAGTGTGTCTTTTGCTGCAGACAGTGAAAACTGTTGTCAAAGGTATCAGCAAGAACACAATGTCACTGTCTGTATGTAAAATAGAATGCAGAGATTTAGGATACATTTCCAATATACAGAAGCAAAACAGAATTGACTTACAGATGCATACAGAATTGACTTACAGATGCATACAGCTACTTAGAATATCTTCATAAAGTGGGAAACACCTGGACGACTTTCAGTTTTCTGCTCTGAGTAAGGAACCTACATGTTATGTTTGACCAGGATATGTAATTTAAATCTCATCTTAAGATTTTCTTCTCTTACCTTCAGAATATTGCCAAAATAGAAATAACCTGTTCAGGAGTGATGCTGTAAAACTAGTATTTGTTACTTCAAGGCGGGACTATTGTAATTGTTTATTATGAGGAAGTTCACAAAATCCAGTTAAGAGCCTTCAGCTTATTCAAAGTGCTGAAGCAAGAGTATGGGCTGAATGACTGGATTGAATTGAACTCTTTTTATTGGAAAGCGCCTTAAGATGACATGTGCAATATATTAGCGCAATGTAAATAAACTGAGTTGAATGGGGGGGGGGAAGCTATTTTAGAAGAAAAGGGATAATATGAATTGTGACAAAACATAAGTCTCAAAATGACTTTGATGTTATGAAGTGTATCAGATTGCCTTTCAGTCTTTGAACGCAAGAGGGAAATTGATTACATTTGAATCCTCACCACAATTTTCTAAGTAGCTGAAGTCATGAATTAAATACTATTCATGATTTAAAAACGGAGATGAAATTAATCTTTCAGACAACTGCCAGGAATGATTTATTATTACCGTGTGTAAATTACGTTATGTCTCCTCCTCTTTCTTCCTTATCAGCTGGATTTTCACATGAAGGAATCTGTCCCATTTGCCAAATTTAGTCCACCTAAACATTAAATTAGCATATTAGCCCCTATTACCTAAGGTTGTTGCAGTTTGTTTTAGTCACAGGCAGATTAACTGCATAAGCTAATGCATAATGGTATAAACTAATTGCATAAACTTCCTTCATTTTGGCTTTGTTGTTATTTTCTTAATTGAAGAAACCATCTTTTATAATTACAAAGGATTTTGGAGTCATTTTACTGAAAATGTTCAGAGGTTTCCATTAGCTAAAAGCTAATGTTCCAACACTCCACTAGATTTTTATGCAGAATGGGTTGAGCTGTTTGGCTGGTGTTGTAATGCCAATAAAAAGCATTACAACAATATGTCAGAGAAATACTATATATTTATCAACATATAAAGAGTATATTTGCCTATATCTGTCCAAATATTCATATTTAAGGGTCTAACAGATGTCCTAATTTTTTATTTTATCTTTTTTTTTTTTTTTTACTTACACTAACAATCTAATGAAGCCCTTAAAGTCCATGTATGTTTATGCTTCAGTGAAAAAAGTTATGTTTGTAAAATGTAGTTTGGAATATTATAGATCCAGAGAGGAGGTGGCATGTTTGTGTTCAGGATGCCCTCTCTGCATCACCCTGCAGGATGTGCAGCTGGCTTTGTGAACCCCCAGGGTTGTTAGGAGTGTGCGGACTAGATAAGCTTGTGGTGCATTTCCCAGAGAGGCACACCTTACAAAAGGATTTACTGTGACAGTATTATAACAGCATCTGCCTGTTAGTTTGTCTCTGTGCTTATAAATTGGAGGCTTTCATCCCAAATCTCAACATTCTAAATGATTGCCATCTGTTTGGGTTCATATAAGGACTCAAAAGATATTCATTTTATGCTATGTGCGTGCTCAGGAAGTAAAACTAAAGGATTTAATGGATGTACAAAGCTAAAGTGATGTGTCTAAGATCAACCTGCACTCATGGACCATGTTTTATCTCCAGAACAAATTAGCTTGAAGGTGGCTCTTTTAGAAGATCTCTAACGACACACAAGAGGGCTACCTTGCTTATATAAGCATTTCTGCCTCCAGCTTCAGTGCAGTCTGCAAGATTTTTTTTCAGCATATTATTCCAACAAGTCTATCAAGTCATGATAAGCTGCAGGAACATCCCTTCATTAGAACATTTTGGACATGAAAGTAAATACCGATCGGTAACTGTCAGCATGTACAACTGGATGATATTAATCAACATACATACAATGTCATTTATAAATCATGGTTGGTATTGTATTGTTTCACCATATTGTAGAACAATATGATGTCTAGAAATAACTAAACACTTGTCGCAAATGTGTGGTATTAAGATAGTAATCGAAAAAGAAGCACATAATGTGTCACATGCTGTATTTTTTTTTCTTTTCGTCCCTGTAAAATAAAGGAACGGAGTGGGAACATAAATTTAAGAAATTGCTTTTTTAACTTTTGTTCTCAACAACAAAGGCACAAAAAGCTTGACAGAAAGCATTAAACTTGACTAAAGCTCATCTATCATGAAGTACTTGCTGTTTCGCAGATTACTGTCAAAACAATCAAAAATATAAACAACCACAAAGCTCTGAACAAATACTCCTACCTTTTTCTAGTCAGTTCTACAGGGAGGTCTCATTCTGATTAACAGGGATTAACAAATCTCCAGAACTGCTGACTGGAGACAAACTCTACTTTCCTCAGAAGTATATATTGTCGCACTGTAACCATGTGAGAACAATAAATGACTTCTGAGGGCAATCCATTTTGTTCCATGCGATTGTGAAAGCTGTTTCGGTAAAGAGTGCAGAGCAGGAGCAAGATTGAAAACCTAAGTCCCTCAATCTTCATGTCCTTATTTAGAGAGGCTTAAAAAAGAAGCAGTACATTTCCTTTATGATACTACAGAGAAGATGTTAAACCTTCTGTTTTTCAGCTTTCATCAGTGAAAGTGGAGAGATTTTTCAGAGAGATAAATTCCCCTCTTTAATGTTTCTTCCTCTCAAGTCAACAGCATATTTTTGCACAAACACTGACAGATTAGTCAGCCCTGAATAGTAAACTCTTGATCAATATCTCGATGAAAGAAGTCTTTGAAGTAGCACCAGAGAATCAGGAAGCTGTAGGGTAAGTTTTTTTTTTTTTTTTTTCCCCCTTTCCCACTTTTATAAAAAAAAAAAATAAAACATGTGTTCTCCAACTAAGGTCAGGAAATGGTGATGAGGCATATGTGAGAAGATTAAAAATTCCTGAAAAATGTCACTTGATTAACAAAAATGTAGTTTTTTAATGCCACAAATATTCAAAGAATAAATTCCCTTTCTGTTGCCTGGAAAACACTGATGAAG